TCGATTAACTATCCAGCTTCCCGTTGATTATGTTTAGGATATACTTCTACTATAATGAGGTTACCATACGAGTAAACTGCATGAAAACAATGACGTTCTTCATTAATCTGTCACCTCGTGAAGATGAGGCCCAAAGTGGTGTGTAATTAGTTCACTTGTGGATCATGCGTCTCGCTGGCTCTCTGGTGAGCTAGTTCATCTTGGGTTACTACTTACATATTATCTCCCCACTCAAACTTGCAAGAGTTTAAGATAACATTCGGTACTGGCCATGTTTTCTCACCAGTTCTCGATATTTTTTTTATCTACTCCGCGAATTCTCCAGCTGTGTCACAGTAGTGAACAAATACAATGCGTTAAGAAGTGACGCGGTGGAAGCCAGCGCCTCATATGTAGAAAGCTGATGACAGTCCAATAGGCTTGAGAAACTGGAGACCAATCAATTAAGGCGCGACCAAAGAGTCCGTTTCACCGTAAGTACAGCTAGGCAAGTACTTAAAACGCCAGACCTAGCCTATCTTCCCAAGGGAGGTGCATACACACGAACCTAGGCTACAGGTTCAGTAAATTAAATTAAAATTTTGCCCCGAGGGGCGAGTTTATCAGGATCAGTAGTAAAGCCACGATAAGAAATTATATTGATAAGTTGCATTAACGTCACACGCTGAATTCTATAAGCGAGTGATTAGGTGTCTTAACTCAACTTGATACAAACAAAAATAACTACACACACCCTCTAGGTCAACATGGATTTAGAGCCTAAGATCCTGTCTTTCGCAACGACTCCTCCACCACTGTAACAACACAAATGCATAAGAAAACATGAATGCAGATGTTGTATACACACTCCGCATTGACATTTAGTCAACGTGACCTCTGGAGTCTTTGCCCATAAAATGAAGTTCAAATGAATAACAGACAATGTGGGGCGATGGATATCAAATTGCCTCACAACATGGTCACAGAAATGGTGGATGGACTGGTTCCAAATCTGCACTAACAACCATAGCTGCTCGTAAAATTGCCCGTTTTTAATTCGTGGGGTCATTGGTTAGGCGTGATCATACGTGAGGCTGCGAGCAGCCGCGTCCAACAGCCTAGTTGACCAGTCCAACAACAGGAGGCCTGGACGGGGACCGGGTCGGGGACAGGGCCGCGGGTACGTTGAGCCCCGAAACTAACGCAAGGTAACAGATTCGGGCAATTTAGTACATCAGTTTAATGACGTTACAACGAGCTGAATAAACTAGCCGCCTCCGGTGGCAAAAATCACAGAAACTGCGATCATTATGCACAGCAACCACCACCACCACACAACAGTGAGAGGTCTCCACCACAACCACCACCACCACCACACAACAGTGAGAGGTCTCCACCACCACCACCACCACCACCACACAACAGTGAGAGGTCTCCACCACCACAACCACACAACAGTGAGAGGTCTCCACCACAACCACCACCACCACCACCACACAACAGTGAGAGGTCTCCACCACCACCACCAGCACCACCACACAACAGTGAGAGGTCTCCACCACCACAACCACACAACAGTGAGAGGTCTCCACCACCACCACCAGCACCACCACCGGGGTGACAACCAACAGACAGTTGCCAGGGGAGGGACGGAGCCGGAGCCTGCCGGAGCACCACTACCAGCACTGCGGGAGGCCCGGCGTCACCGTGGCGCAGCGCCCGGTTACAGGCCTGCGTCACCTCTACACCGGCCCCACACACACTCGCTCCACACAATACCTGCAAAAACCTAGCAAAAACTTAATATCACCCCCCCCCCCCGCTCCTGTGCCAGGTAAGTCCCCAACGGGCTCACCATAGCCCGTGCTACTTGGAACTTTTTTGTTCCAAGTAGCGAATCTTAAACAACAACTTAATATCCATGGAGATTTGCAATGGAAACCACAGTTGAGTAGCGGAGTTGCAGAATCTGAGATGAGAGTGACGGACACCGCCTTGACCACTATCTACGAGACTGTGAACACCTGAGAGACATTATAAATATGTGTAGAATAATAAACCCCCCACAGTGTTTGAGTTAGGAAAATACCATTTGTCAAACATAGATACTACTATTAAAAGATTCCTCCATTTTGCACCCGCAAGATAACGAAAGATTTTAAGGGTTGACTAATGTTAATCTTGTTTGAGAAGCTGTTCACTTGAGACAGTTAAGCAAGTCCCAGCTGTGTCTGGGTACAAGTGACAGGATGAACAACCCAGCGGGTTTTCTTCCTATTGGGGAGTGTTGTACATGCTGCTATGGTGGTGTGTCCACTCACAAGATATGTGAGCTGCCCAATACTGTCACTATGGCGGTGTGTCCACTCACAGGATGAGTGGCCCTCATACCTATCCTGTGGGTTATTTTCTTGAGGTTATCTTGAGATGATTTCGGGGCTTAGCGTTCCCGCGGCCCGGTCCTCAACCAGGCCTCCTTTTTGTTACACATCCCCAGGAAGCAACCCGTAGCAGCTGTCTAACACCCAGGTACCTATTTACTGCTAGGAGAACAGAAGCATCAAGGATGAAACTCTGCCCATTTGTTTCCGCCTCCGCCGGGATCGAATCCGGAACCTTAGGACTACGAATCCCGAGCACTATCCACTCAGCCGTCAGGCCTGGCGGTGATGGAAATGCTATCAGAGGCATAACATAAGTTCAGAACCTGGACCCCCACTGCTTTCTAAAATGAGCTACTTATCTGTAGTAAACTAGATAAAAAAAACACTTTCTATATTTTTGATAACCAGTAGCGACTTGGCCCCCTCCCCCCCCCCCACCCCAACAACAACATGGCGGCTTTCAAGGAGAACGACCTGCTTGGTGACGGAGGCCAACGGACCAACCGTGAACCTGTAAACACAAGGTCTTGCCCTCTCTCGCGTATATTATAAACCAGTCACTTATACTTGCTTAACCCTTATATCCTCGATATGCGAGACTCAACATTTTAGGTACAAAAAATAGACAATCTACAACCTTCTCAACCCATTCTGTTGCCAACACTACAAAAACACACTATTGCCTGGTTCTCAAATATATTAATGGTTTGGTGACAGGTAGGCCTAGGTTAGCTGAGGCCTACTTATGGCCAAACCATTAGCTGGTTTAGTTAGGTTAGACTTAGATATACCTGCATAACATACTAGAAAAGTCATAGGTTTTTAATCTAAAAAAATAAGAATGTACAAATGTAGCCTAATGCTGTACACATGTTTCTTCCTTATAAACATTCCTCTTCACAGGTGCATTGCCACACGTTATTTCGTAAGCCAACACCTGCACACACACACACTGTGTAAACAAATATAAACAATACACATCTGTATAAACACACGATGCCCGCATGAAACTTTTTACACACTGAAATCAAAGCATTATGTAAACACAATTAACATGCTGCGATTAAGAGCTATAAACATTTCACGTGAACAGTATATATATTACTCTCACACAAACTGTCCAGAAGAGCAGAGACGTGTGTGTGTGTGTGTATATATATGTATTCATGTGTACACACGTGTACACATGAATTATATGAGGGAAGGGGCCTGTAATCTATCTCCCTATCACACACACACACACACACACACCTGTGCTATACGTTGCACATATAGCTGAGAATACCAAAAACGTGTTATACCAAACAATATATGGGTTTCCCCTTGAAGAAAATAATTACAAAATCCATACGCGGTAATTTTTTAAGTTAATATTTTCCCGGTAGCCTATCTCCTATTTTCAAGTTAAGAGGAAGCATACCTAACCCAACTTAGCCTCGCAGTGAACATTAACCCTACAATCAGCACCAAAACACTTAAGTTCATATCAATACAAAAATTAAACCCAAGAAAATCTCTCGGCGATTATCTTATTATCTTAATTAAAAACGTGAATAGAGATTGAGGCCGCACGGAAAAGATCTCTGGTTCCCCATAACAAACCTTAACAAATAAATTTGTTCAAATTGAATTGAAATAAGTTTATTGGGGTTATAAATACACACAAAGGGACGAGGTAGCTCAAGCTATTCTCACCCCGTTCAGTACAACATGTTCATACATATATATAGACAAATTTTAAAGCTGTTCACCTTTACTGGGAGGAGGGGGTGGGGGGTAGGTACCACAGATACTAAGGGGGCATCGGGGGGGGGGGGGGGGGGGGAAGACGCCCCCTCCTCACCAAGACGACCGTGTACAGTACTGAATAAGATCTACCAATGCCTTCACGTCTGGAAATGTTAGAAGTTGTTACCCGACTGTTATCAAACAACTTTATCTTACGCCGATGAGACCCTCACTTATATCTGCTAATTTAGTTGTAGTTACGATACTACACAAGTGGCGTAAATTCTTTCTAAATCAAATCAGGACGAGAAAGTAAATCTGTAGCATCACAATTCGCTTTTTTACAAAGCCAGAACGAGCACACTGAGGCTACATTCTCCTTAAATGCTTAGAACGAGAAGAGACACGCTTAAAAGAAGTCTATTGAAATAGAAACATGGCATAAACAAAGAATATATACAAACTAAAGAAATCATTAGGATAAAGCGCTGGCTAGTGTGAATATACAGCATTTTGAACGATATACTGTATATCCCAAACGTGTTGAAACTATCACGGCTAATGATCCGTGGTAGGTCAAGTTGATTTCCCGGTTGTAATTCTTGTCCATGTCGTAGCTCAGTCGATTAAGGCGGATCTGGGATCCTCTCTGACGTAGGTTCGAACCCTCATCACGGCCCTTGTGGATTTGTTCATTTGATGCATCACGCTATTGTGATTTCTGTGTGTAATGTAGTGTAGTGTATCACGGCTGTTTCCTAATCACCAACAACTCTTCACGAACTCTGTTAGCTATTACTAATCACTGTAATCTGCGCAAAGTAGCATTAATCACAAACTTCCGACTAGGGTATTCAATGAGGAAAGATAAGGCCTAAATTTTTCAAACACTATAATTGGTAAACTCACTTGGCTGGTCAATTTGCTCTCCTGAATCAAACCAGCAATCTCCCGCCAAAACGGAGGGTTGATCTTAGCCTATTGGTAAGACACGGTCTTCAACTGTGATTCACTATGCCTGTGCTACCTCTTGGCTGGCCTAATCTTCCTCAATCAGTTGTAAATCTTCATCAATCTTCTGTGAGTTAGTATGTCTTCGATGGTAAGGTGTTCCCGAGGTAATGTCTCCTGCAGAAGGCGCTCCGGTGAACCTAACACAATCGAGAGGACGTGGTAGGTGTTTGAGAGCAAGAACACTATTGGTCTGGGCGGGCCACGTGTGGAACCAACACTGACTTTTGTCGCGGCAAGTCTCATATACTGTACGACACACACCAGACGGGCCACGTATGCGGTTTGAACTCGAAAGATGGCACACCGCCCCCCCCGGCTTGCCAAGCGCGCATCACATGGTATTGCATCATTGGAACTATGCCAGAGGGGCATGACCCGACCTCTTCAAACTTGGCGCCAGCCACAAAAAAAAGTCAACAATGAGGACTAGGAACATCTTGCAACTCCCCTTGAGCACGCGAACGGCAAAATAGTTTCATTATTTTTACTTTATTATTATAATTATATAATAATGCAAATGTTAATCGGATTACACACACAAATCACAATAGCGATTAGGGCGCGTCTGGGATCCTCTCGGACGTGGGTTCGAACCCTCGTCACGGCCCTTGTGGATTTGTTCAATGTTAATCGGCATTAGTATTATTACCACTTAATATAGCTGGCTATATTTTTACATCACATAGAAACTGATATCTATAACACGAACGTGGGGAGCTTACATTGAGGTGCTTCCGGAGCTTAGCGTCCCTGGGGCCCCGTCGTCGACCAGGCCTCCTGGTTGCTGGTTGCTAAGACTGATCAACCAGGCTGTTGGACGCGGCTGCTCGCAGCCTGACGTAAAGATGAGGGATGATGAAAGCGTGATAAAGCACCGGGTTACTGCTGCACATTTTATGGGAAACAAATCACACACAAAAAATGCGGAATTGTTACTTGCGTTATCTAAACATTTTTAAAAAGAATTCGCCGCTGAAAATAAGATTGGCTAATCCCGTGTTGGCTACATGCTCAGTAATGCGACAGGTAACCCAGTTTTGATGACGCGTGATTCGTATTCTGGGACCTGTCAATTATACTCACCATCCATCTAGGGCTGGGGTCATGAACTTTGGTGGCATGCGCTCTACACCTCTGAACAAATCCACAAGGGCCGTGACGAGGATTCGAACCTGCGTCCGAGAGCATCCCAGACGCTGCCTTAATCGATTCTAAAAAGGTGTAATTCTATACTCCTTTATCTTAACAGCTGGGGGCTGAAACACCCCCAAGAGTCTTGTAGCACACAGCTACACCTGACGAAGGCTACAGTGTGTGTGAGTAATTACCTGAGTGTAGTTACAGGATGAGAGCTACGCTCGTGGTGTCCCGTCTTCCCAGTGCTCTTCGTCGTATAACGCTTTGAAACGGCTTGCTTGCTTGCTTGCTTGCGCGCGCGAGCGTGTGTGTGTGTGTGTGTGTGTGTGTGTGTGTGTGTGTGTGTGTGTGTGTGTGTGTGTGTTTACTAGTTGTGTTTTTGCGGGGGTTGAGCTTTGCTCTTTCGGCCCGCCTCTCAACTGTTTACTAACTACTTTTTTTTTTTTTTTTTTTTTTTTTTCACACCACACACACACACCCCAGGAAGCAGCCCGTTACAGCTGACTAACTCCCAGGTACCTATTTACTGCTAGGTAACAGGGGCACTTAGGGTGAAAGAAACTTTTTGCCCATTTGTTTCTGCCTCGTGCGGGAATCGAACCCGCGCCACAGAATTACGAGTCCTGCGCGCTATCCACCACGCTACGAGGCCCCCTGTGTGTGTGTGTGTGTGTGTGTGCAGCACCTTTACTAGCAGCTCTTGAAACCCCAGCCTCTGAAACCTCCCCCCCCAACCCCTGAAGTCCTTCACCGATTACACTTACAGGCTTCCTCATACAATAGGTTACTTTCAACACTGTGAAGTGATTAAAAAAAAGCTCTAGCATGGATGTTCTGGTGGGCCTGACGGCTGAGTGGACAGCGCTCGGGATTCGTAGTCCTAGGGTTCCGGGTTCGATCCCCGGCGGAGCCGGAAACACATGGGCACAGTTTCTTTCGCCCTGTTCACCTAGCAGTAAATAGGTACCTGTGAGTTAGACAGCTGCTAAGGCATGCTTCCTGGGGATGTGTAACAAAAAAAAAAGAGGCCTGTTCGAGGACCGGGCCGCGGAGACAATGAGCCCTGAAAACATCTCAAGATAACCTAGATAACACTAGTGAGGGATATTGTCGTCACTACCAGCAGCAGGGAATTATCAACCAATCACAGGCAAGACCTAACCAACTAATTTACCACAACAATATAAAAGCAGCAATTGAACTTGTGCCAGCAGTAAAGTAGCGCGCACAAGTGCAGAGATGCCAGAAATATTTTGTTTTCAGTCTCAGTGTCGTAAATAAGTGCAACGGACTAAATGAGGCACTTGTCAAAGCCATTTCAAGACGGTTGTAAATGTAGAGATGAGAAAAAACGAGGGAAATGAGTCACTGCATTGAACTAATGATGGTCAAAAGGTGGAGTTTGAAGAGCAGTTGCAAGCATTACTAGGTGAGCACACACACACACACACACACACACACACACACACACACACACACACACACACACACACACACACACACACACACCACCCACTCAAGGGAATTGACAGGGTAGATAAAGACAGGCTGTTTAACACAAGGGGCACACGCACTAGGGGACACAGGTGGAAACTGAGTGCCCAAATGAGCCACAGAGATATTAGAAAGAACTTTTTTAGTGTCAGAGTGGTTGACAAATGGAATGCATTAGGAAGTGATGTGGTGGAGGCTGACTCCATACACAGTTTCAAGTGTAGATATGATAGAGCCCAATAGGCTCAGGAACCTGTACACCTGTTGATTGACAGTTGAGAGGCGGGACCAAAGAGCCAGAGCTCAACCCCCGCAAGCACAACTAGGTGAGTACAACTAGGTGAGTACAACTAGGTGAGTATACACACACACACACACACACACACACACACACACACACACACACACACACACACACACACACACACACACACACACACAGCCGACGATGATTAAGTGTCAGGTGAGAATAAAAATTTATTTGAGCGACATGTTATAATTCACGTCGAGTACAAGCAACTGCCTCCACACAAGCTTTTTAATGTAACCTAAATGACCTCTAAACTCCCCCCCCCCCACCCCCACCCCCCCCCACCCCAATCCCCCCTCCCCTCCCTCTCTTGCCTCACTCTACCCCCTGCGTCACGACACACCTACTCACTCCCCGACCAACCACAGCGCTCCATCGGCAGCCACACCTTCCCCGCTATCCACTCACCGCTCCCCATCCTCCCTCCACCCACACTTCTCAGCCAATCACAACGTCTCAACCTATTTACAACCTCCCCCACCCCCCAACATCACGTGGGACCAACAACACACACACACACATCAGGCCAGAAGACGCCCCTGTCTCACAACCTCACGTCATGGGAGAAAGAGAACTCCACTTGCGAAACTACAAAGTATATTTAACCATCCACTACAAATACTTCAGCCCCTTACCCCCCCACCCCACCCCCCTCTGCTTCACAGCCAATCCCTCTGCTGGAAAAACATTTATAACTAGACATGTGGCTCAGCATTTATAACTAGACATGCGGCTCAGCATTTATAACTAGACATGCGGCTCAGCATTTATAACTAGACATGCGGCTCAGCATTTATAACTAGACATGCGGCTCAGCATTTATAACTAGACATGCGGCTCAGCATTTATAACTAGACATGCGGCTCAGCATTTATAACTAGACATGTGGCTCAGCATTTATAACTAGACATGTGGCTCAGCATTTATAGCTAGACATGCGGCTCAGCATTTATAACTAGACATGTGGCTCAGCATTTATAACTAGACATGTGGCTCTGCATTTATAACTAGACATGCGGCTCAGCATTTATAACTAGACATGTGGCTCAGCATTTATAACTAGACATGTGGCTCAGCATTTATAACTAGACATGCGGCTCAGCATTTATAACTAGACATGCGGCTCAGCATTTATAACTAGACATGTGGCTCAGCATTTATAACTAGACATGTGGCTCAGCATTTATAACTAGACATGTGGCTCAGCATTTATAACTAGACATGTGGCTCAGCATTTATAACTAGACATGTGGCTCAGCATTTATAACTAGACATGTGGCTCAGCATTTATAACTAGACATGCGGCTCAGCATTTATAACTAGACATGTGGCTCAGCATTTATAACTAGACATGTGGCTCAGCATTTATAACTAGACATGTGGCTCAGCATTTATAACTAGACATGTGGCTCAGCATTTATAACTAGACATGTGGCTCAGCATTTATAACTAGACATGTGGCTCAGCATTTATAGCTAGACATGTGGCTCAGCATTTATAACTAGACATGGTATAATATTTATTACGAGAGACATTTCAAGGTTAATAACTAGAGATGGATCGCTCACAGGCAACCCAAAAATCTATCCCGGGTCCTATATATAGATAGTGCAACCATCACTATCTATATATAGATAGATACCAATGTACGTCCAACCGTTATGCCTATTCCTTGTTCTCAATGTTTTTCCCCTCTCCTTATAGGCCTACTAGTGAGAAATGTGCCACATAAATGCATTTATTTTTGCAGAATTGCCTTGCAGCAATAGTGCAGCGTTGATTTACAATATCTTACGAGTGATTTGCAACGTGTTTAATATTGATTTTCAACATACAATTGTATTTATATGAAGGTTGGGCTTTAGCTCCCGGAGCTCGTCTATAGATTTGAGTAGGCTTCCCTCCACACTGTCCAATCACTTGGGATGGTCGGTAGAGCGACCGTCTCGCTTCACGCAGGTCGGTGTTCAATCCCCGACCGTTTAAGTGGTTGGGCACCATTCCTTCCCCCCGTCCCATCCTAAATCCTGACCCTTTTCCAGTGCTATATAGTCGTAATGGCTTGGCGCTTCCCCCCGATAATTTCCTTCCCTCCCCTCCACACTTCAATTTATCTGTCCCAGACCACCTTCCCACAATCCAGACGTTCCTCTTCCGCAATTTTTGACATCTTTCTCACCCTTTCCCTTCCATATTCACTACAACTTCCACATGATACCCCTTCCATTTCCCCTTCTCTAACTCCAAAAACTAAATAGCATTTACCTAAGCATTTGACACCCTGGATTGTACCTGGGGATGGGGTTCAGGGAGTTGTTCTACTCCCCCAAGCCTGGCCCCAAGTCCTG